ATCATTATGTATGATATTATAATAAAAATATCATAATATACCTTCATTACTCCAATAAACCATATTTAGATCTGCTTGTTCCATTAATGTAGAACTTCTGTGTGTATTTTCTGGTCTATATAACTTATTTACCGTAATATTTATGTCAGAAGGTGGAACTAATATATCATTTGTATTGGCGAATATTTTATTTATATATCCTATACAAAAAGGATCAGGAGTATCAAAATTTGAACCTTTTATATGATCAGAAGATTTTCTATAAAATTCAGGATACATATCTTCATCTACATTTTCTTTTTTAAGTTTAGAAATATCTTGATATGTAGTTTTATATTTAAAATTGAAAACATCTGGTTGTAAAAATACAGTTGTTCCAACTCTATAATCTTCCCCTTTGTACTTTACTAAACCATAAATAACTTCTTTGCTATTTCTTTCTTCTATTCGTTCATACACCTTGAAATATAAAAAATATGAATAATTATTAAAAATAAGGAATTAATATTAAATAAATATTAAGTATATTTTTTTCATCTAATAAAAAATAATAACAATATAAAATTACTTTATATGCTACATATATTATATTGTTATAAATCTTTCATACAAAATATTTTACAAAAATTATATTTTAATTATCCTAATATTATAAATAAAATTTATTTTAATATTATAATATAAACAAAATTACTATTACAATATTAATTTTATATACCTTTGGTGTATTGAACTGTTCCAACGTGTTTAAACGAGCACATGCAGGACAAAATCGGTAACTGTTTCTTTTATGAAGATTTTTTATATCAGGTACAGGATCTTCAAATCTAGCCGTTTCGGGTATATAACGCTTTTGAAAAAAAAATGTTTTACCATCTGGATCTTTTACATCATTTTCAAAGTTTAAATCCATATTACCTATAATATAAAATAATATAGAATAAAAAATATTATTTTTAATTTTAATATTCGTATTTAAAACTTCATTGAATGAATATTAAATATATACCTAATTCACTCCAATTTTTTTGTACTTCTTTAAAAATAACAGTACATTTAGATCTGACAGATTTGAAGGGTATATCATCACAATCATCACTCAAAAATAATTCTATAGGATCTGATGTTTCTCCGAGAATAGTATCATTTCCTCTATGTAACCAATTTGCATGAAATTGTTTTATACCATTTTTATTTTCCCACATATAAATAACTTTAGCAACATGAGATGGAATTGCTGGATTTCTTGGTTCTACAAGTACATAATCATTTATTCCTATTTCTTCATCACCAACTATAACAGATTTGTAATATGTTTTTAAATTTTCATTAGCAATTTGATCTCCTATCCATATAATATCTTTTTTGAGTTCTTTAAAATCTTTTTTTTTGCTTCCTTCTTCTTCAACTTTTTTATTTTCCATTAAAATTTCATATTGATCTTCATTTTCTGGATCAGAATCATCTGCTTCCTAAATAAATAAAAATACAAAATATATTATATTTTATATATATATATATACACACACACAATTGTTTAAATAATAATTATATTAAAAAATAATTTTTACTTGAATGGCCATATTTGGACATCTTCTTTTAACACAAGCTTGCTTACTTCTTCCGGTTCCTCCAAATTTAATCATATCTTTACAAGCATTACAAAGACCACAATCGGGTTGTTGACAATGTTCACATACTCCACATCTTTGTCTTTTAGGTCCCTAAAAATATAATTACATAAAATTTATTTTTATTTATTATTTTAAATATGTAATATATAGAATATATAGAATACAGAATGTAAAAAAAATAGTTTTTATAATATTTTATTATAATTCTAATCAACAATATATTCAGTTGTTTAAAAAATCATTCTATATTTTAATAAAAAAAATAAATGCTTACCATTGTTATCTTATCATCATGTTTAATTAATTGATCTGTAAATATATTTTCAAACATGTCACTAACTAATTTTGTAGTAGTTGCTTTTGTCCAAGCAGGTTTTCTAACTTTTTGTTCCCTAAGTTGCGTTCGACGGAAAGTTACTCTTTTTCCTAATGTAACGCCTGCAAGATTTGCTAATGCTCGCATACAAGGACTTGTAATAAGAAGTGTATCTTCTGAGTCAGCAGAATTATCAAATGATAACACTTGATCACATATAAATTGTGCGTGTCTTAATAAAGAATCTTCAGTAAATTTTGACATATTTTTAGGTGGCACTATTGTCTGTAAAAAGTATATAATTTTATTAAGTATGAAATAAAATATATTGTTCAAAAATTCTTTAATAAAATGCTCTTAAATTACTTGAAATTTATTAAGTAAATCCTCGTAGCTGGGATTAATTTCATCTAAAAGAAACTCAATAACCAATTTACTCATATATATTTTTTCCTTAACAATATCCATAAAAGGAGCATATTCTTCAGATGGATCCATTAAAATATATTCCGCAAATGCTGTATTGAAACCTATAAGAGCCAGTTCTCCTCCATCAAAACCAGATACATACCATTCATTTATTGGACCCATATCTTTTGTTGGTACTCCACCCTCTGGTGATGCATCTTCTTCATAAATAGCTTTTATATAACCAGAAAAATATAACATTACATTTTTTTCTATAAGTCCAGTATCAAAAGCACATAAATGGCCATTTTTATCATAAACACTAAAATTAATAAAGTTACATAAAATTTTTACAGATATATCAAATTATTCATAAAACAGAGGAATCTTACCTGAAATAAGTCAATTTATTTTGAGGACGCTGATCACTTTCATGTATGAAAGATTCAGTTCCATTAAATAAACATAATTTTGGATCAATTAAAGCAATTTCTTCATCTACAGCACCATTTGGATGACCCGGATAAAATTTTATTTCATTTAATTTTTGACGACAATATTCACATTTATCATAAAACATATTTACATTTTTAATTTGAGGTGTTGGTAATATATTAATATCTGTAAGTTAACTTTTTTTTCAATATGCTTATCTAAATATTCCTCATCTATTTCTGGATCATAATTTTCTTTATTTTGTTCACTTTCTTGCAATATATTATTTTCTGTTTTTATATTTTGTAATTTTTGTATGTCTTCTTTATTAGTTGTATCGCAACTTATTTGCTTTTTTTTTAACAAGTTGTTTAGAAAACATATCAATTATAGATATTTGTCTATTAAATTTGGATGTATTAGACTTCATTGTATTATTTCTTTATATATTTCCACTATTTCTCTTATTATGATAACATTGACAATTTTAAATCATATTTGAATCATTCTAAAATATAGATAAATTATTACTAAAAAAAAATATATAATTGTAATAATATATATATAAAAAATATATAAAAAAATATTTATATTATATATTTATATTATATATGTATATTGTATATATAGTGAATATAAAATGAATATATATGCAAGAATTTTATTTATCTAATAAATACATAAAATATAATATTTTAATCAAGTTTGTCTTTATTAAATAATATACACGTTTAGCAAATAATAACTAATTTAATAAAAATACCTTATAGTTTGATTTCCATAAAAGAATATAATGTTCCATTTAATTCATTAAATTCATTATAATTTCCAAAATTTAAATCTACACAAATATAAAAAAGAATATTTATTGTATATTTTTATCACATATAAGATTTCTTTTATATATTTTATATTCTATTATAAATATTATAAATATTAATTTTTTATATAAAACTTATAGATTTCTATTGACTTTATTTATACACAAATACACTTTATATGAAGTACTCCTTCTTAATTTACAATATAATCAAAATTTGTTATTTAAAATCATATATTTTCATACTTAATTTGTATATAACATTTTATAATTCACATTTAAAATATCGTAAACAATTTAACTTTTATATTCGTTATTCTTTTCAAGAAATATTTAACGAATTCCATGTGTACATTTTCCCGCCTTTGAGCACTATATTAAAAACTTTATTATATATTACATGTATATTATATGTTTACATATTGTATATATTTTGTACATTATTTACTTTTAAATTTAAAAATTAAATAATAAAAACAAAGTTTAAAGTTTTTGAATTTTTTTTTATTAATTTTAATATGAATCTAAAAATGGCAGTTTGAATTATTGTAATAAAATAATTTAAAAGTTTTTGCATCCCAAAATTTCGCATTTTTAGGGACTTTTTTGAGTTATATGATGCCATATTGAATTTTTATTGAATTTATAATAATTTATAATAAATTTATAATAAAAATAAAAATATGCATAAAATTCAATTTATTATATTATCAATTTATTTCAATTAATTATATAATTAATAGTTAATTATTAATTTAACAATTATAGTTAGTTATTCAATTAATTATAAATAAATAGCTATTATAAATATATGATTGTTATGACTACTATTAGATAATTTATTATAAATCTTTTCTTTTTTAATTGTTTTTAAATTATCAATTATGTCAATATGCGATTTGAAATTTGAATTGATCTAAATTTTTATCCGAAAAATAATTTAAATTTGATATTTTATATTATCAGGATTGGATAAAAATCCAACATGGCGTCGTCACATTAATTCATAAAAATCCCTAAAAATTCACAACTTTGAATGCAAGTAATTTTTAAATCACTGAATTTACAGATTCTGAATATTAAAATCTAAAAATATATAGAAAAATAATTAAAAATTTTAATGCTCTTATTTAGAGTTTATATTTTTTTTAAAATTTAATCAAATATAATAATATAAATGAATTTGCTATTTATTTGTTTTTAAAGAAATTGAAATTTATATAGAAATAGTTAATATATTAGCATTAATAGGTTAAGTTGGTAAGAGATATATTATATCTGGATCAGTTGTTTCTTGTTCTGCGCGCGAAAAAATAATTTATTTTGTTATAATTTAAAAAAATAATTTAAAAAACCAATTAAAAAACATTATACTATAAAATGATTATAATTAACAATAATCAAATATATAATTAACAAAAATTTATTAAATCGTAATAAATAATAAATTGATTAAAATATGTCATGTAATTATTAATAAAAATATATTAATATAAAAATATCATGAATATCGTATATTTATTGAAATAATAAGGTGTTCTTTGTATTTTCTTTACAATTTATTCAAAATGAAACTTCATTGTAACATAGAAATAAATAACAGATTATCTACAACAAATGTAATAAGAAGAAAATCACAACGTTCCATTCTAGCAATTGGAAGACAAACGGTAAAAAATACGGAGATTTATATATTTTGGCAAACATTACAAAATAAACAGGGTACTAAATATAAGGTAAATGATTGTTATATATATATATTTTTTATAAATTATATTATAATTAAATATATATGTAAATGGCAATATTGTTATTTAAAATATATTTTTCTAATTTAAATATTTAAAAATTAAAAATTTTTTTTTCAGATTGATAATAATGTGGATAAAATATTTACAAAATTCATTGATGAAGGAAAAGCTACAATTCGCTTTATTGAACCACCTCATGATTTAATTATTCAATCTGATACAATTCAATTAAAAAGTTTCATTCATACTTTAAAACTTGGAATAACCAAAAAAATTAATCCTTCAATTCTTAATATTTCAAATTTGAATCCAAAATGTATGACTTTTGTTCCAAAAATCAAAGTAGCAATTAATAAATCTTCTGAATATCCAACTTTAGAAGGTTTTCCAAGAACAACTGAAGAATTATATTTAATAGGATTAAATAGAAAATCATTTGACAGACAAATTTTAAAACTTCAGAGTTTAAGGATTTTAAATTTGTCAAACAATCAGATTTCATCTTTGCCAAAAGAACTAGGCACTTTACAACACCTACAAGAACTTATTTTATCTCAAAATCGACTAGATCGAGCTTTAAAATGGTTATGGTTAGATCAAGTTGCTATTAGATCTAATCTAAAATTATTAGATATAAGTAATAATTTATTACAAAAATTACCACATGAAATTGGGAAACTTGATAATCTTGTAAATTTGAAAGCCAGTCAAAATATGTTATCATATTTACCTCAAAATCTTGGAAAATTGCATAATTTAAAATATTTGGACATATCGAAAAATAATTTACATTGCATACCTGGAAGTATGAGAAATTTACATCTCATTTCATTAGATGTATCAAGCAATCTATTTCTATCTACAGATTCATATTCTATATGTACAATGAATGTACCAAGTTTAACTGAATATGCAGCCAAGTCATTTCTGAAAACAAGGTTTGTATAAATTTTTAATTTTTTTTTAATTTGTACAGTTATATTAATTTTTATTTAATAAAATATGAAATATGAAAATTCAACGGAAAAATATATATTTATATTTAAATTTTTAATAATTTTTAAAAATTTTTATTTCCTTTATATAGATGTTGGTATGATGCAAGTATAATTCCATTCACATTGGTAAAATATTTGGATGAGGCAAAATATTGTGTCTGTGGTAATCCATGTTTTAATTATTACATAAGAAAATTTGTGAAATTTAGTTTAAATACAATAGCAAATATTATAAAATCATCAGATACTACTGTATTGCCATTTGATTGTTATTTTTGTTCAAAAAAAATGTGTACGTTATGCAAAACAACAATACTAAATTAATTTATTTGTGATGAAATATGATATTTATCTTTTTTTTGTATATTTTTATATAAAAATACATATTTAGAGATATATTTTTAAATAAAATTTTAAATGAACATTAAAAAAATTATTTATAATTTTTTTTTATTTTTATTTATATTTTATACCCATAATTTTTATCTATATTTATTTATAAAAAAACTATATTTAAATGAAATTTATAAAATATATGAAAGATTATTATCAAAATTATCGGAAAAAATTTAAAAAAAAATAATATTCATGAAATAATATAATAAATTTTATTGTGCAAAAAATAAATATAAATATAACAGTTTTTGACATTGAACATATAGCAAAACAAGAAAAAAATTAAATTCTAATCCGTTTTGTACACAATTCCATATATTTTATAAATATTTTAAATTTAATACATTTTGAAGTATATAATTTAAGTATGTAATTTAGATATTCATATAAAATATTCATTTAGTAAAACCAATTTAATTAATTACTATTATATAAATTTGTGAATTATACATTACATTATTAATTATTACATTATTATAACTTATTATAAAAATTATTTAAATATATTTTATATGGAGTAAAGTGCATTTTAAATACTATATAAATTTTAAATAAATTTATAATACACTTTTTTATATAAATTTTGTTCAAATATTCGAACAATTTTTGAACAATCAGGGAAAAAATTTAATACAAAAGATTAATTATAGAAATATTGAAAACATATTTTAATAACAAAAAAAATTCTACAATAAAAATAAAAATTTTGTAAATGGAATAAATAGACAGTTACATAATTTAGAAAATAATTATAAGTAATAATAAATATTATATCATAGAAACAAATTAATAGAAGAATTTTGATAAGATGAAAAAAATAACAAAACTGTCTAATCAATGAAGTAGTAATTTTGGCCAGAAAAATATATTATTCAAATGTAATTTTTTTAAAAATATAAGTACTACAAAATTATATAATCAAAAATTGATATGATTATGTATATTTATTTTTAAAATATATATAAAAAATATATCACTCATTACATAGATATAATTTTTTTATGCACTTAATCAGAAAATTTTTATTTTTTTTATGCATTCAATCAGAAAATTTTTATTTTGAAAAACAAGAAATGTAATAAGCACTGTTTAAAAAATGTTTTTGAAAAAATTATTTGATATATTAATTAATAAATTCACAAATATAGCCATATAATATAATATAAAATGTTTTTTAATGTTACTTGATATTAAAAATGTCATTTCTTTTAATTTAATCTTATTCAATATTCAAAATTTCAAATTTGTATGTAATGAAATGAATAATCTTAAAGTATTAAAGTATTTACTTTTGATAAAAGTTATTTTCTTTAAAGTTAAAAAAATATTATTTTTAAACATTAATATTATTTATTTTGTATCTGCCATATTTTTTTTTATAAAATCAAAATCAGAATCATCCATATTAATAAAAAATTGTCGTGATGTAACAACTTGTTTTTTACCTATGTGTGGTACACAAAAATCGATATCATTATATTTATTTTCATCTATATGACCATGAACTTGTAAAGATTGAACAAATACTTCTGGATCTTCTGGGCATTGAACTAATTTCATAGTATCTTTTTGTAATAAATTGTTCGATGAAAAAATATTTTGATTCTATTGTGTGTGTAAATATAAATTAATTATAATATTTGTATTTAAATTAAAAATATAGAATGTAGAATGATTCTTTATACAGACCTGCAGATTGGTATTCTTAATTTTTATATTTTTACAATTGTTTGGTATTTGTAAATCATTTAATGATATTATATGGCTTTTTAAAAGGCTTCTAATTACCGCATTTTTGTGAAGTCCGCATTCTTTTAAAATATTTTCCTTATCCTCAATATCTTTACTATCAGTATCATTTTTATTATCAGTTTTTAATATAGTAATTTGATTATGAATTTCTGTAGTTGAATTTTTATAGTCATGATTGTTAGATTTAACATTTAAACTAGCTTCCATTTGTCTAATTTTCCAATGATCTTGAAGATATTCATTCGAATAGTTAATACCATAATTGGCCTATAAATTAAAATCTGTTTGCATATCCTACACATTTATCATAGTTTCTAAATTTATAAATTATATTTACTTCTTTAATACTGGATGCAATTTCATTTTCATGTAATAAATACTTAGAAGGCAAAGTGTTATACATTTCACCACTGCTATCATTAGTATCATTAAAATCATATAACTGTAAATGATAATATTCAAGATAATTAAATATTTTTTCATTTATATATTTAATGAATAATTACTTTATATTTTAATGAAGAATTATTAAGAATTTATTTTAATTATTATTTAACATATAATTTCTATATAATTGCAAATATATTTTTTTCATTAAAGAAATATAATTAATATAGATATTAGAATATATTACAAAATATATAAAAAAAATAAATTTGATTTTGAATACATTAAAAGAATATAATTACTAACATTTACATTTTGTGGAATTTTGATTTTCTTTAATTTTAGATTTTGTTCATAAGAATCTTTCCGACGTATGAATACAATATTTTCATCTGTTTGAGGTATTTGTGTTACTTTTTGAATTTCAGCATACAGATTCATTATTAAAATAACCTATAAATTAAAAGGTATAATTTTATATAATAATTATAAATAAAAAATATAAATAAAATATAATATAAATAATTATTTATAAATTATTATTTATTTTTTTGTAATTTTTATAAAATAATTTTTAGATGATTTTTTATATTTTAAAATTTTTGTAAAGAATTACTACTACAGTTTTTTTATATTCATTATAAATTGATTTGAATTAAAACGAAATTTAAACTAAAGAAAAAAAAAGATAAAAGAATATAAAAATGATGATAAATTAAAATAATTTAATTTTGAATATAAAAATAAAATGAATAAAAAAGTACCCACATTAATTTTTTTAAAAAATTTTTAATAAATTTTATATAGCAAGAAAAATCTTATTAATTATATAATATTGTAATATAAAATTAATCTACTATATATTCTTATACTTTCACAATTATACTTTTTCACAATTTAATTAATAAAATATCACTTTGTCATCAGATAAATCAAACAAGGTTAAAGCTTGAGTATGCCAGTAACTGTATTGTTTAAATACAATTCGTAATAGTTTTTATATCATGAATCATAAGTAAATATTTTTGATTTAAGTAGTTAAGAAATTATGAGATAATCTAAAATATTTATGTAAATATTTCTAATTCTTAAAATTTAAAAACGAAATTTATATAATTTCATTATTTTAATTATTTTAAATTTCAAAAATTTACTTTCATATTAAATGCGTATATAGTATATGTAAACTATATATATAAATATTGTGTATATATAAATATTGTAATATGTTATATATCAATATTATGAAAATATTATGCATTATGTTATTTAAATATTATTAAAATATTATTAAAAAATATATATAATCATTAATAAGTATTTTTATCTTTATTTTTTTATTTGTTTATAAAATGACTTTTAAATTTATAATATTTAAAATAAGAGTACTGAAAAATTAATTTTTTTTTTAAATTTTACTCATTTATATTATAACAATATTTAAGAGTAGAATAAATATATAAATCTCTTAAATAATTTATCCTTTCTATTATTCCAAACTTTGTGGTTGAATCATCAATGACGCTATTTTAAAGCAGTGTTTAGTCAGTGAACTGTCAATGAGACAGTTTTGAGAGTGTCAATTGTATTTGTATATGAGTTATTTTTTTTTATATTATTATGCTTAATGTTGATTTTTAATATCAGAAATATATAGTTAATTTGTAATGTTTCATAAGTAAAATTTTTTTAAACTATTTATCACTGGAAGAAATAATTTCTACACGTGAACAATGCAGGTTAGAATTAACAATGTGTTAAATTAATTAAGATTTAAATTGATTTGTTTTTTAACTGTTGCTATGTATATATTTTTTTTTAATCATATATATATATATATATATTAGAATATTGTATTATTGCGTATAGAAAAATATTTCGTTTTTTTACATATTTTTGTAATTATGTTAACTGATAATAGAGAATAATTTAAAAGCATATAAAAAGATTTATTTTATATTTATGAAAATTTTTATATATTAATATGTAAAATTAAAAAAATATATTATAAATTATTTTCAACTTAAATAGATTAATACGGTACAACAAATTTGGAATAAAATTATTGAGAATGAAAAGAATAGGTTCGAAATGAATAATGTTGTTGAATTAAATAATAATTACTTGAAATATTTTTTTTTATTCTAATTAATTCAATTCTAATTAAACAATTATTCTTGTTTAATATCAATTTCTCTTGTAAAACATCGATAAAATAATGGAATTAAACATATTTTTGGTTAAGAATTATTTTAAAATATTAAAACACGTTAATTAAAAATTACTATAAAAATTTCATAAAAATTTATTAGAAATAATATGAGAATTCACAAAAAACATTCATTAAAATTGAATGGAATCAATAAAAAATTCGTAATAAATTAAATTAATAAATTAATAAATGTTAATTCTATAATTATAAATTATAAATAAAAAATATTTTAAAATATTATAAATATTACTAAATCGTTTTATTGTTTTTACACTTCAATGAATGAAAAATTAATCTGTTTTTATATCGTATTTTTGTTATGTTTATTGTATTAATTGCCTTAATATAAATAACATATATTTATAAAATATAATTTATTTCAATATTAAATAATCTTATTATTATTATATTGTTATTTTATCATTGACAATAAATGCATTATATTATATTATATTTATTATTAATTATATCATTAATTTCAATTAGTAAATAAATAATAAAAAATAATCAATATTTTAATTTTTTTAGTAAAATCTTTGAAAAGTACATCATATTTATATCAGATTTATTTTTTTCTAATATTTTATATTATTAGATTTTATTTTTATATATTAAAATATTTCGTATTACGAATATTATGAATTTAATATAAAAAAATAAATATTAAAAGTTTAAATCATTATATTTTTAATTTTATTATATTAGACCAAAAAAAAATTTATATATGAAATTTGTTATATATCTATAACATTTAAATATAGAAGTTTTTCAAACAAATAAAATATGTATGTACTGTGTTGTAATTTAATATAATATATATATATAAATATATATTTTCAAAAAAATATTTCAAAAAAGATAATTGAAAGTTATTTAGGATAAGAAAGATATATACATAGTTTTCTACAAGAGAGAAAAAAGATTCTTATCATATTTGATGATATTATCAAATTAATTAATACTGCTCGATTAAGATAGATAAATCATGATAAGAAATGTGATAAGAAAGAGTAGATTCGAAATATTTGATAGATGTAGATCTTCATATATAGAAAAACAATAACAGAGTAAACAATAAAAAATATATTGATTGTTATTGTATTTAAAATTTTTTAATTATCATTTCTTTAAAAGTTTTCTAGATCATCTAACTATTAGCATAATTTATTTTCTTTGAGATATTCTAACTTTCGTTTAAAACGTCTATCAACGTTTTTTTGTTTTCTTTTATAACATATTTTTTGAGATATTAAATTATTTCTATTTAAAAAAACAATATGAAAAATAAAAACAAGACACGTATCGAATATTTTTCTGAGAATTTCTCATAGAAATTCCCCCAAAATTGGTATTATACGGATTCAATATGACTCAATTCCTTATACATTATGCTACGTGATTCATTTTCTAGGATTATTGTCGATTGATTTCTATTTATAGTAAGTATCTGTAACCTATAAATTTATTAACTTTACAAACCTTGTAACCTTATAAATCTTAAATATCCGCATTCCATACTAAACATTAAGTTTAGTAAATAATTTAAGAATGAACTTATATTTCTAGATACATACATATATGTATGTCACTCAATATGTTAATCAAATTTTAATAAAAAAAATTTTTTACTAATTATATTGATTTATATTATCTTAATACATATCTATTTATAATTATATTGCTATTATTTTAAAAGCTATAATTTACAATTCTTCATTTGCAATTATAAGTATGATTATTTATTATATATAGCTGGCTATATTACTTATACACATGAAGACTACAGATATGGAATAAGTAAAAAAATTTTTAAATTTATATATTTAAATTATATATCTGTTAAAAATGAATAAATTTTTATTAATTTTTTTCTATAAAATGCTATTATTTTTTATTTTTTTAATTAAAAATTATTAATAACTTAACTTTAACTGAAAATTTCTTTTATATATTATTGTAAGTTAATCGTTAACTTCTATATTATATATATTTTATATGTAGGTTTTTTATATATTATATTATAATTAATATATTATCATTTTATCATATCGTATAAAAAATTGATATTATTTATTAATAAAAAAGTGATATTATGTTATATTGCAAAAATCGATTCCTAATAATTCAAAACAAATAAAAAGAAAATTAAATTAATTAATCAGTAATTTTGCTTTTTATATATAATATATTCTCAATGATAAATTAAAAATCACGAAATGTTAAACATATTAACAATAAGATTCGTATATACGAATGGCAATTTTAACTTTTTTTTCTTTGTTATGTATTAATAATATATATATTATAATATATTATATATTTCGATAAAGAGAAATGTAACATAATTGCATGAATACGATAAAATTAGATTTAGAAAAGTTTCAACCGATTGTCAAATATTATTTTTTAATGGATATATTATCTATTTTAAGTATTTTGAATAAAATACTTAAAATAGACACAATTTCGTTTAATTTTGGATATCTTATCGTTCGTCTTGATGATGATATTAAAACGCTGTAGCACATATGAAAACCGCATCACACGTGTCGAATCCTTTCATTGGTTGGTCCATAGAGGGGACAAGAGGGTGGGTAGAACATTTAATTGCAAGGGAAGTCGTTGATTGAAGACGAGGTATACGCCAGTTGTGTTTCACCGTTGCTTCGAGTTGAATCGTTCTTTCGTATTTTTTAATAAAATGTGTTGTTAGTTTCAGATATGTATATATGTGTATATATATATATATACATATATATATAAAGACTAGTTTTTGATGTTAATAAATTTTTTATCAGTTTATCCTTTATTTTTAATTCATATAAAATAACAAATTGTTTGAATTTTTCTTGAAAAATAGTGTTATCGCATATTTGTTTAGTGTTTAACATTCTAAAGTTTTTTATAATTTCAGTATTTGTGATATTAAAATATAGTTAATCATTTTAAAATAATAAAGATTAAAAATTTTATTGTTTTTTATTGATTATTTTTATCTAAAGTTTGTCGTCAATGTTTCGTTAAATCAAAATTGAACGATGACGAATCCGTCTCGTCTTCTTCTTTCTCAACCTATGAGGTCAGACATTTACTTTGTAATTTATGAAACCATAATTTTAATAAAATACATTTTACATATGTTCAAAAAAGAAGGGAGGGAAACGATAAATTATTATTTTTAATCATTTTTTTCTTTCAAATTGAAAATTAAAAATTTTTTTACTTATTATCGTTATTCGAAAACATCGTGTTATTATATATATTATAATATATATAATAAACAATGTCATATCATGGTTTTATCTATTTTTTTATGTATATAATCACTTTTTTTTTTATAAAAAGTAATAGATAGTAAAAAATATAATTGAAAAACTTTAATTTAACAAAGTACATAAAGTATATTCGTATTTTCTTAATTCAAATAATTTATAATATATTGAAATTTTATTATATTTAATCGATTTTATTTTTCGATTTTAATCGATTTTTTACTTGAAATATCTGTCATTTGTCATTTCTAATAACCAATGTATATTGTAATATACATTGATAACATTATTGATAAAATTTTTTATCATTCACTTTTATCTATTTATTTCTTTCTACTACTGATACAATTATTATTGATGAATATTGGATATACAAAGCGTGAAGATTGATTATGTGTCAGTGTTTGAATATTTTCGAGATCGACCGAAGGTGCTTCATATAGGAACAGAATATTGTCTCAAAAATAAAGGTTCGTAAGTTAGAATTTAATAGCTTAGACCGTGCTGTTACGTATTTATATAAAATTTCTATTCACTCTTTTTTCTTTCATCTTCATTAAAATGAACAGAAAAAGTGAATATATGATTAGCAAAAAATATACAAAAGATAATATCATATATTTTATATATCATTGAATATATAGTTTTGTATTTAAATATATTAAATTTTAAAAGATAAATTTTAAATATTAACAAAGATCAAATTATTTCGAATATATTGAATAGTATATCATGAACTATAATATTTTCCTGCCTGCTAAGTTTCACTTTTCCTCTTAATTAATTTAATAGTAGTAGTTGGGTTAAAAAATGCTTATGTTCCCCTTTGAAAATGCGGATGTGCTATCATGTTTTTCAATCAAGTTCCATTAATCGACGTTTTTGAAGCCTCGACCTAATTAATAATAACCCTTTATGTTCTCGTATTTTTTTGCTTTTGCAAAATTTAATTAAAAAATTTTCTTTCTTCAATTAATAATTTTGAGTAATTTTAAAAATTTTGTATGGAATAAAAATATTTAAATATAAACAATGTTTTTCAAATTTATAAAACTTTTAAGATGAAACAATTCCTTATATTTTATAAGTAGAATATTTAACATTTCTAAAAATTTTGTTCCCATCAATAGTGTTTCAATTAAATTTTTATTAAATATTTAATATAATCAAATACTTTTGGATATTATGATTCTCTTAAAAACGAGCCCCCCTATATATGACATATGTATCCCATCTCCGTAGGATTAAATCATATATATATATATATATATACTCTTCTAGAGAAGTATATCTTTGTGTTTATCTTGTTTTTATCTTATCTTTTTAAAAATTTTGTTTGTAATTGTAAAATAAGATTTTAAAATACAGATTACACAAAACTTAATCCAAGATATATACAAAAATCGAGATTCATTCATGAACGAGATTATCCAATATTTCCTCATTTTGTATAATACATAGTATGTACTCTCAGGTATAACTCTATTCATTTTTATCAAAATACAACGTTTTCTTTTATTATTTCCCTTATTTTAATCTTTTATTTTAACATTAAATATGAACATTTCTTATATTTTTAAATATTAGTCAAATAACTTTTTTAAAATAATAATCAATAGATTCCGATAGATGATGAATTATTAATAGTTATTATAGTGGCTGAAATGAATACAAACTATGTAAATTAGTATTTAAATGAATTTAAATTAATGTAAATTTAATAATCCAACTTTATTTTCATGTACAATATGTAGCATTGAATAATATGAATTCAAAAAAATTATATCTTGTTATCATCTGTTCAATTAAGTGTTCAATAATATGAAAGATAAGAAGTTGTTAATTGTTTTCATACTTTTATAGAATTGATTACTTCGTTATTGAATAAACTTTACATTATTTTTTAAGAATACTCTGTTACTAATAATTTTTATTAAAAAAACTTTAATAAAAATTGTAACAACTGTTGAAAAATTATTAATTTCTAAAATTAAATTATCGATTTTTATTTATTTATTTATTTATAATATTATTCGTATTTTGTATTTGAATATTTATTTTAATTTTGTTTAAATTCAAACAAAAACAATTCTAATTTGATATGAAAAATATAATTATATCTTTTTAAAATTTAATTTAATATTTTAAAGATCATTGAAATAATAATCCACTATAGTATAATATATTATACATTTATGCTATATGAATTATGCAATTTAAATTAATAACACAGAATACGATTCAATAGAAAAAATTGTTATAAAATTCAATATCAGAGAATGAAAAATTATACAAACTTTTTGTCCATATAGGATATTTTTCGATATTATATCTTAAATATTGTTCTATAATCGTTTGATTAAAGAAAAATGTAATTTATTATTTCGAAAATATATAATTTAAAAATTATATATTATTTTGTATACAACTTAATATATTAATGAATCAAATATAATTATCAAAAAATATCATTGTTTTTATATTTTTCCAGAGGTCAACGGAACAGTTGACTCGTTGCAGTACAGGAACGTTAGAAGACATTTTGGATAATTCAAACGGAATAACAACCCGAACTGTCTCTGAAAAGATCATGAGTATCTGTAAAAACACTACGCGTTGGATAATAGTTTTCGATGTATTTCTCGCTTTATCAGGTTTGAATATATTTCTTTTTTTTCTTTTCTCTCATTCTTACATTTATTCATAAAGTATAGATTAGAGCGTTAAAAATGAATGAATTTTAAAATTTCATTATTATGCAATTTTAATTACCTATGCAATTTTAAAAAATACTTTAGTTAAGAATAAATTGTTTATATATCAACATTATATTTAATATATTTAAATATAATATATTGTTCGATTATACGCGCGCTAGAAACGAATCATGCATGCAATGAGAGTTGGCTAGAAAGAAAACCACGAACCATGTAACATAATACTATATGAGTCGACTGTCTGCTTAAAATTTTTCCGGGCGTGTCGCATTAAATAACTTAATGCACATATATACACATGCGGTGAAATGTTAATGAACTGTGTTGCAGTAAAATGAATTGCGTTATTATTATTAAAAAATATATAAAATTTTTTAATGAATTGATCGATCAATGAGATTAATTGATTTCAATAATTTTGAAATATGTAGTCAAAGATATCATTTTAAATAATTTCGTTTTAAATATATCCATAGATATATCGGATGATCGGTTTTAATTTTCCAGATGTAAAAGTTTTCGTAAACTTATCGAAAAAATACTTCTTCTTTCTGTTTCAAATTGAAAGAAAACTTCACATAAATATAAACAGAACTCTCCCTCTGCATCTTTATCTAAAAAAAAAAAAAATAACCTAATTCAATTTATATTTGAATTGCAGGATGGTTAAATAGGATTATATTTTTTTTGATAGGAATAAATTTTTGAAAGAAAGATTTCGTTTAACTTGTTAACTTTAAAATTTTTTTTTTTAAATTCTCTTAAAATTTATCGAATTATTTCAATATTTATTGAAATATTTGTGTAATAATTTTTTTACAATATACAAGAATTAATTAATTGCTCATCAATCTGATGATGAAATAGATTTATCGACGTCGTAACGATTTACGCATACCAGTCATGCATACACGCACATTAAAAGTTAGTTTTTAAAATTAATATTATAATAATTTGTTAAAAAATTGATATACTGTTATCGTACATATGTTTACATTCTCTTTTTATCTTATCTATTGAATTTATTTATCAATTCTTTTTACGATAATCAGATTATATAGTATATTAACAATATATTGTCTGATAGTTTCAATGGAGAAATTCATTTCTTTTTTTATATTTAAATATCGATTAAATTTAAAAAATGAAAATTCAAAAAAGTTTAAATATCAATTATATTACGATCTAAACTTATATATCGAGGGAACAATGCTTGATCATCGTGAGAAGTGACACAATATCGTCACTTATACGCATGCGTTTCAGTTGAATGTATACTTAGTGTATTGCTTCACGTAACAAGGGCACAGTACCGTGTGTGACATTGAATATACCGGTATTCGAAGTGAGAGGATTCCTCTTCTTCTTTCTCTTTATTTTCTCCCCCTCTCTATTATTATCCTTCCTTATTTCTCTTCCTTCCCCTTCCTCATTCACTTTTTCTATTATTCTTATTTTTCTTTTTTTCTACTTTTATTAAATTTAACTCTAATTCTTTATAATTACGTACTAAATTTACATAACATGGATAAGAGTAAATGTGAGAGAAAAATAGCTTCACGATGGAAAAATTTTAAACGAATGTTGCTAATTAAAGGAAATTTATATTGTCTCAGTAAGTATCAAACTGAAACAAAACATATCATGATACATGTATTTTATTAGATAGATATTTATATTTAAATATATATTAAATATAAAAAATATAATTAAATATATATTTAAACTTGTGAGAAAGATTTATAAATTCAATTGAAGAAATTTAAAAAATTATAAAATAATAATATTTTTTAATTACAATGTTGATCTACATACACGAAATAATTTATTATTTTGTTATTATTTTTAATTATATAAATAATTGAAGAATTTTTTATCAAATAATAAATTAAATTAAAAAAAGAATTTGAACAGTAAAAAAAAAATTACGTAATTATATATTCTAAATATCCTCAAAATTTTATAATTTTTTGAATTTCCTAATTGAGATATTTCTCTTTTAATTGATTTAGCAAGGATTTTATATTTAAAATTTTTTCGTATCTATACTCTAAAAATTAGAAATCACGAAAATGTATAATATTTTATTTATCCAAATATATTTAAAAATTCATGTGAAAAGATTTTTATTAAAGAAAAAAATTACATAATTGAGAATTATATTTCAAAATTTATTTTATTAAAATATTATTTTATTAGAATTTTGTAATTGAAATATTTAGAATTTTGTAGTAAAATTTCTTTTAATTATGAATAAATTACAATCATGATATCGATAAAATTTTTTATTATATATATTCCTACATGTTATATTTTTTAAATCTATATATATACAATTAAATATATATAAGAAAATTATTATATTATTCTTTTTTTTTTCTTTCTTTAAAGATTATTAAAAATATATCGTGTTGGATTTGTATAATCTTCATAACTTTTTAGATTAGAGATTATTAATGATATGGATGCTGTGATAGTAAAATACTGAATTAAAAATATATATAAATAATTTTTCAATTGATAAAAATAAAAAAAATTAAAATATAATCGAAATAAATTAAAATATATATATATTTTAATTTGTTATATTCTTGTATTGTTATATAATGTTTCTAATATTGGGTATCGATCAAAATTTATCTTTTTTATAATTCAAAAATAACATTCAAAATAATAAAATATCAATATTATGTAATATTTATACATGCATAAATTTGAATTGTAAAAGATAAAAAAACTAAGCATTTTAAAATTAGAATTGTCTATGAATAAATGAATAATTTCACTTGATTATTCGATATTTGTTTATTATGTCGTATGTTATATAAATAATGATTAAATTATTTTAACAAATTATGTATCGTTTATTTATATGATATAAAAATATATTTTTAATAATTTTAATAACGATTAATAAAAAAAATATGTATTTAAATCTTTATATCTTTTTTAATTTATATCTATATTTTATATTTTGTATTATATTTAAAATTTAAATATAATTTATCCAGTTTATTATCTGTTTATTACTTATACCAGTTTATTACTACTTTTCTTTCGCACATTTTTCGTGTGAAATTCTCTCATATTGTTAAGCTTTATAATTTCTTATTTCTACGATCATTTCTAATTTTTAATTGTACCATTATGTATTTCAGTTATCGTACTTCTAGGAGTATTGGAATTCAGAGCAGTTCCGCGACAACATATTGGTTTTTATTGTAACGATCCAAAAATTTCTTTCAAGTTCAAAGGAGATACAATTTCTAATTCGTTTTTGATATTTGGATGTCTTATAATACCAATTATAGTGGTATGTAAACCAAGCTAAATTTATATCGTCGAGTTTTTATGTTAAAAAATTTTTCATTGTCAAAAAATTTCGGCAATTATGAAACAGACTAATAACAGATATTATTTAGATTTAAATAATTATTTACGTGTACTAGATCATGAAACAATGGATTGAATGGAATATGAGAATTAAATATATATATAAAAATTTGTAAATAATATGTAAATATAGGAATAAAAATAGTTTAGAAGAGAAAGAATTATTTAATTGTATTCAAATTTGATCGGTTGCATTTCCGTTTCTGCGAAAACAATCACAATCAAAGATTCCGAATTAAAATATAATTATGAATTTCATTAATCTTATTATTAAAATTTATAAAGTGGATTGAAATGGAGATATCATAAGATGAAAATTGTTTTTAAATAATAATAATTGATAATGATTATTATTATAATTAATTTATTTTTATAAAAAAAAATATTAAGCGTTTATTATATTACAACTCATCAATTACTTATAACAAATTATAAGTGCAATTACATAATTGCAATTCTTTGATAATATTTCTATTTTTAAACATTTACAATTTATAAATAACGTTTTATTTTATTTATTTTTAGATGTGGATAGCTGAATTTTTATGTTACCCTGCAAGTAGCTATGCTAATGAATTAGGATATGTTGGTTCGAGAGCAAAACAGATATGGTTGTGGTATAGACAATTTTTAATTGGATCTATTAGTTTATTGTTTACATGTGAAGTTATAAAAACTGTAATTGGCGAACCAAGGCCACACTTTTTGGATACGTGTAAACCACGAGAGGCTGAGAATTGTACCGATGGGTAGGCATTCTTTTGTTCATAACAATACGTTGTAAACGAAATTATATGAACATATACGTATATTTAAAACAAGAATTAGATTTAAAATATTAGGTTATATATACATATATATTATATATAAGTAAATAAAAGATAATAATTATTACAAGATAAATTATTATCTAATATCATCTTTGTGTTTTGTTTCAGATACGTGGAAAAATATACATGTACAAATACAAATGTTTCAGACTGGAGTATCTTAGATTCTAGTAGATCATTTCCATCTGGTCATTCTTGTCTTTCCATGCATACAACTATTTTTATTATAGTAAGTATTTGTAAAAATTTAAAATATATATATATATATATGTATATTTGCATATGACTATATATTTACATACTATAGTTTGAGATATATTTTACCGTTATTTAAATTAAATTTATGATTTTTAAATTAAATGTATTATTTTTTATAATTTTGCATAAATAATAGCATAAAATTTTACATCATATATATTTATAATTGTTTCAATGCGATTTTTTTTTGTCATTTTTCTATCTAGTTTTTTGATCGCTTATTAAAATAAAAACTAATCGTTTGTATTTCGTTAAAATTTAGAATGCGTTTAAACTTTAATATTGAAATAGTAGTAGTAAAAAAAAGAATTATGGATATTTTTTAATAGAATAGAAATGATACGTTTGAAATATTTGTGTTAAACAACGTTTAATCTTATATAAAAAAAATGGGAATTATTTTTTTTACAATCAATAATACTATCAACTCATTAAAACAATTAAATTTTATTGAAATTTAAATTTTAAATTTAAATAATTTTAAATTTTAAAAGTTTTTCCATATAGTTTTTCAAATTAACAGTTGCACGTCACATGTATGATTTTTGTTATCAATAATTATTTGCAGATATCACGTATATACGATGAATCACTAAGTAAGTATATATGTAAATTTAAGTTATCTCTCATAATTTATATGAAATGATTCGATATTTTCTAGATATTATCTTATCATTTTATTATAAATATCATTTGGATGATATATATATATATATATTTATTTATTTATTTATTTTATTATAAAGTATTTTATTTTTTTTTTTTTTTGCTTGAACATAAAATAAAATTATTTTGTAATTATTATTTTTATTTATTATGGGAATAAATATAAAAGTGCCTTTTTCTTCGCTATGTTTGAAAATTTTTTTTTATATTATTAGAAAAAAATATTTTTTTGTTATAGTGCTACATACAGCGCCGTTTGCCAGATCGCTCGGTTATGCTAAAACCGTGGTTACAATTGTTGATGTGCATGTGGACCATAGTATGCTCATTAACCAGACTTGTTGACAATAGACACCACTGGTGGGATGTACTGGCAGGCATCATTATGGGTTTTATTTGTGGCACAGTAATTGTTAACGTACTGTGTTGTAAGTTTCATATAAATCGAAAAGTCTCACAAATCTATTGCGAAAATGGACAAGTTAATATTGATTATGAGACAAAACAAAACGGCAAAAAACTTTTACACGAAACAACAATTGATCTTTCAGAAAATCGTGAATTAAAAAATGTTAAATCATCGACATGGAAAGAATAAAAATCAAAAATTCATAATGTATGATGGAAAAAAATTCAATTTGCAAAAGAAACATTCAAAAAAATTATATGTTTTTAAAAACGTTTTTTTTTTATATAAATTTTCTAAATTACTAATAGAATTCTATACAGTACACAAAGTAGGTACATTTGATTTATATTTAAAAAATATTTAATTCTTCTTTATTTTATTCATAAATATTTGGGAAAAAATTATGTATTATAGTTTGTGTGTTGATAAATTTATCTTTATATATATTTAAGTACATTTGACATATATTGTCATAATTTGACAATTTATTTTAAAATATTTCTTAATTATTTAAATTATAATGTTTTACTGAAGAATCAAAAATTACAATTTTTTTAGAAACAAAAAACAGTAATAATAATAATAATAATAATAATAATAATAATAATAATAATAATAATAAAAATTAACTTTTTAGAAATTTT